AAATAAAAACTGAAATTTACATGACTATTCTGCATTTGCATCTGTTAACAGGGATTACCTGGTCCACCAGGTGAGAAGGGAGAGACTGGAGATGTTGGACCATTGGTGAGTTTAGAGAGTAAAGCATAAATTGAGCCTTCAGTTCACTGAAAATTTTGATTGAAAATGTCTTTCTTTTTAGGGTCCCCCTGGCCCACCCGGACCCCGAGGTCCAGCTGGACCTAACGGTGCTGATGTAAGTCAAGTGCAAATCAAACCTTAAACATAATTAGTTTCTTTTACATTTACTTCTATTGCAAAATTGTCATGATAGTACTACTCTTATACCATGCAACAATCGATTCAATGGGTGTATTTTACAGGGTCCCCAAGGTCCTCCAGGTGGTTTGGGAAATCCTGGACCTCTTGGTGAGAAGGTAAAATTAATTATTTCCTCCTTTTTTATTGTCTTCAACTAAAAATTTGCATCAAATATAGAACTGGATTTAAATCTGAACTGTGCCCTACAGGGAGAGCCTGGAGAGGCCGGACCACCTGGCATCGGGGGAGAACCAGGAAAGAAGGTGAGTTTGACTTTTTTGAGGACCAGTTCAGTTTCTGTAGCTTGTGAGCCTCAGAACTTGGACAAGATTATGTCAAAACCAGTACAGTATGGTCCTTGAATATTTTGTTTGTTATATTTTATTTTATATTTACATGTGTGTTTGTTGTTGTCAGGGTCCCAGAGGAGAGCGTGGGGAAAAGGGAGAGGCAGGGCAGCCGGGAACAGCTGGACCTCCAGGAGGAAGAGGGAGACCAGGAGATGATGGGCCCAAAGGAAACCCTGTAAGAGACTGAGGCCTGCTTAAGTGTGATAAAGTGCCTTATTCATATACATTGTATTCATAAACATTAGATATAAACCAATGCAATGTTCTGTTTTGACTTTAGGGTCCTGTTGGTTTCCCTGGTGATCCTGGTCCCCCTGGTGAGGTTGGACCTAGAGTGAGTATTGATCTTTTATTTACAACTGTCAAGAGTTTACTTCAAGAATACTCCAAGAATACTCCAAAATTATTCTAATCTTGCTTTGCTTTCTCTTTAGGGTCAAGATGGTGCCAAGGGTGAGAGAGGAGAGGATGGTGAACAAGGAGAATCTGTAAGTGACGCCACACATACTAAGTATCAGCTAAGATAGAAAGTATTCTGACATACGTAACTTTTCAGGGCTCTCCAGGACCCCCCGGAGAGAATGGACCTCCCGGACCACCAGGAAAGAGGGTAAGAACTATAGCCAAAATGACAATGACAATGGAACAAAAAGAAGCCTAACTTAAGACCAGTGGCCACAGTCTGCTTGTCTTCACAATGGAGTAGAGGAGGAAGATATGTCCAAAAATTTTAATTTAAAATTTTCAGTATCGATTCTTGTTTTGGAGATATGTAAAATTACAATAGAACTATAAAAAGAACAAAAAATAGTGCAATGTAAACAAGATAATACAAAGATTTTTTGTTTGTTTGTTTATTGTGCCACAATTTAACACATTTATGAATGATTGTTAAAATATGATTATCACCATAAGGAATCCAAATAAATATAGAGATATTCATAATTGTCTACATAGCCCATCCATACAATGCAGTAACTTATTTTGTGAATTGTTTTTTAGGGACCTGCAGGATCTCGAGGACCAGAGGGGCGTCAGGGAGAGAAGGGAACAAAGGTAAAACTTCATGATCTGCTGTTGTATTGTTTGACTGTTATATTTTGTACATCGCTGCTTCTAGTACAACGTTCATAATTATTGTACTGTTATTTACAATGCTTCAATATTTTATGAATTTTGTATTCATAGGGAGATGCAGGTGCAGTTGGACCTCCAGGAAAGACTGGTCCCGTTGGACCCCAGGGCCCCCCTGGAAAACCAGGAACAGAAGGCCTCAGAGGATTACCTGGATCAGTGGTAGGATTTTATAAAAATATAGAAAAATATTACTGTGTTATGACTGTGCCTGAAATGTTGAATGGAAGAGACTTGCTGAACCAGAAGTTTGACTGTGTTTCAGGGTGAGCAAGGATCTCCAGGACCAGCCGGACAGAAAGGACCACCGGGACCCATTGTAAGAAACCACGTTTGAATCTCTTGATTACTTTTGATACAGTGACCCTATCTCTTATGTTACTCACCTCTCTGTTCTCTGCTGCAGGGGCCTCCTGGTTTGGCCGGTCTCCGTGGAGATCCCGGAGCCAAAGGTGAGAAGGGTCACCCAGGTCTCATCGGTCTGATCGGACCCCCCGGGGAGCAGGGCGAGAAGGGAGACCGTGGTCTGCCTGGACCCCACGGATCCGCTGGACCCAAAGGAGAGACTGTGAGTCTGACCTCATAAACAAATCCATACAAAATAGAATAAGAAGTAATCTTATTTTCTCACAGGGAATGCCCGGAGGCACTGGCCCACTTGGTCCTGCTGGTCCCCCTGGTCTAACTGTAAGTTTTCAAAACTGCTTTGACAAGAAAAATGTCTGTGCTGCAAAAACGTATGCCACATAAACTAAGGACTAATAAAAACATTCTTTCAGGGTCCACAAGGTATAAAGGGAGCTAAAGGTGCTACTGTGAGTATATACTTTATATTGTAGTGTAGTTTTTATTTAATTGGTTGAGTCTTTAACATTTCTGTTGTTTTAGGGAGGATCTGGTCCAAAGGGAGAGAAAGGTGTCCAAGGACCCCCTGGACCTCCGGTAAGGCCTTTTCAAACATGAAAAACATCCAGGAATGTTATTTAATTAGCACTCATATAAAATACTACAAATGTTGTTCATAGGGCCCACCGGGTGAAGTCATTCAGCCCTTGCCAATCCAGAGGAGTCCCAAATCCAAGCGTTCCATTGATGCAAGTCAAATAGTACCGGAGTCTGATCCAGACATGCCGGCTGCAGATGCCACAGGAGCAGAGTTCACGGGCAGCGAAGGCTTGGAGGAGATCTTTGGATCACTGGACTCATTACGAAAAGAAATAGACACTCTACGATTCCCCCTGGGCACAAAGGACAGCCCTGCCCGCACCTGCCAAGACCTGCACCTCAGCCAGCCAGGAGTCAAAGACGGTGAGTAACAATTATGTATTTTATTTATTTATTGTTTATTTCAGACAGACTGATGCAACAAAGATAGATCATTACTAAAAATCTGATGCTGATATTCCATTGTTTACAGACTGGGTTCATTAGCAGCACCAGGCCTTAGAGGCCGTTTGACAGATCAATTTTCATGAAGTACTCACTATTTTGTGATATAGACAAGTGCATTTGTTATTATTTAGTGTTTTATTTTTATTGCACTTGGTCCTGCCTCTATTTCCATGAAATTATGTAGGTGATCTGCCACAACCAGACACTTCTTTAGTATTACATTAAAGAGTATATGTAACGTAATAGTGAGTAATTAAACTGGGCATTGTTATTCTTTTTTTTTTTATTATCGTGTGTGCCCAGTGTTAATGAACATCAACACTTTGAGACTGTGCATCAGTTTTTGAAATGTACTACTGATTTATTTTTTCACTCTTTTTTTATGTTTGCAGGAGAGTATTGGATTGATCCAAACCAGGGCTGCTCCAGAGACTCCTTCAAAGTCTTCTGTAACTTCACAAAAGGAGCTGAGACGTGCTTATATCCCAGCAAGGACATTAGTAATGTAAGTTCAAATCTATTAGACCAACATAAATACATATAAGCTATGGTGAAGTGCCACATATATGTTATGTTTTTTATTTAGGTGAAGATGAGCACGTGGCACAAAGAGACTCCAGGATCCTGGTACAGTAAATTTTCCACGGGCAGCAAAGTAAGTCTAAAAACATGTGAATTTATTTTTTCTTTTCATTAATGAGGTGGGTAGAATAGCCAAAAGTTGTAAAAGAAACATAATTTTAAAATAATATTTCTTAAATCCATTTTCGGAAACTAGGTAAGATTCAAAAAAGTATAATTTTTACCACAGCTATCTGGACGTAACATTTTATTAATTAATTATGTAATTGGAAGGACAAAACATTTAATATGAAGAGCATCTGTTCAGATTAGTTATATTTTTAACATTTTGGCATTTGTAGACTTACTCACAGTTGGAACCATAACCAAAGCGTTTATTCAAGTAGAGTATGAAAAAAGTATGAAAACGACTCATTACAGTTTTATTACTTAAGTTATGTTGTTGACTATTACCCCTGTCTGCACATCAGTTATGGCTTTAAGTTTAAGCTAAATTAATCTTGATTAATAATTGTCCCTCTTCCCTCTTCTAGTTCAAATATGTGGATACTAACGGTGACCCGGTGGGTGTGGTGCAGCTCGGTTTCCTGCGTCTGTTGAGCGTTCAGGCGCGGCAGAACCTCACGTACCACTGTCACCGCTCTGTGGCCTGGGCCGACCGCAGCCACAAGGACAGCCACAACAGAGCACTGCACTTCCAGGGGGCAAACGACGAGGAGCTGAGCTACAACAACAGCCCCTACATCAAGGCCCTGGTGGATGGCTGCTCTGTGAGTGCAAAGAAAAATATTAACTAGTATCTAACGTAGTGATTACTACTACTGCTTTTTGAATGTGTGCCATATGGTCAACTTAATGCACATTTTTTGTGTTATTTTTGTTGGACTTTCTAAATACAGTAGCATGATAACCTTAGTGAAAATATATGCATATATGCATAAATATTCCAATTAGCCAAGTGGCTAACTAATGAGATTTTCACCATGATCTTTAAACATGCACAGTAGACTTATCCTCCAGTTTGGTACTATTGACTATGATCTTGGCTCGGAATTGTTCTAGGAAACTGCACTGCAGCTGCCCACTTCTCCCAATAGGATGCCCCTGGTGTACTAAAGTATAGGACTGGGCAATCAAGGCTACCTATAAAATAGAAAATTATCTCACCTCCAAAAAGTATCTACACAAAAGTCTATACTATACTATATAAGGCATAGCTACACATACTGTAAATGTTACATGGAAAATTAATAATCCAGATTTCCTACTTTGCCTGTTACATCTACATTTCAAGACTTTTTCTAAGCCTTGTCTTGTTTGTTTCTCAAACTGGTACCTGTGCCACTGGTGACCAGGATTTTCTACAAAGTTATTGTTTGCTTTTCAGGGTTAGTTTTATTCACATTTATGGTGTACTCTGATTTTAGACCTGGAATAGACCTGTTTAACACTTAGTGGAGAAAGTTTAGTAACTACTGATATAATAAAAATTATGATTATGAATTATGATTTGGATTGCAGTAATAATTGTACTAGTAGTTCTACTACAGACATGGTGATCTTAAATAAAATTTGAATTAATCAATGAATAATACAATTCCCTGTTTCTCTGCCTATGTCTCCTCAGTACCGTAAGGGCTTCGACAGGACAGTGCTGGAGGTAAACACGCCACAAGTGGAACATCTCCCCCTGCTGGACATCAAGGTGTCAGACTTTGGGGACAGCAACCAACAGTTTGGTTTTGAAGTGGGACCTGTTTGTTTCCAGGGCTAAAAACACATCTTCACTGTCTACCGTCATCCACAGAGCGAACACACACAAAAACACTCACATCTGCACTTAGAGACACAACAATGTAATAAAAGATGCCCAATGTTTTGTAAATTAACTTGTAAATTAATAAATGAAACATGCTCCCATACACATATTTGCATACATATACAACATACTGTGGTGGGACTATCTTGTGATCAGTGCCTGCCCGAGGAACGTCTAAAATACTGTTGGAAGCAAGGAGAAATATTATTGAAGAAGAAACTGCCGAAGATAAAGACTGGGCAAACATCTGAAAGAAGAAAGAAAGAGAGAGTCTTCTGGAGTGAATCAGTGTTTGTTGAATCGGAGAATTAAGCCGGATGCCCTGTTTCGGACCCCTCTCACCGCCCCTTCCTCCCCGCGGTCCCTATGTTTCTCTACCTCCCCCTTCATCTTTGACTTTTAACATCTTTACTCTTTCGTTTACAATTAAGACAACATACTGTTTAGTTACAACTTATAAGTGGGTGCTCCAACCTAAAAATGTGCAATCCTCCAGCTAGGTAGCCTTGACCAAAATCCTGGTTCAAGATCTGGAGAAGGGTTGAACTGGGTCAAATGCAGAGACACAGTTTATCATTAAGGTCTACCTAAACAATGTTGGCAGTTGTAGTTGCTATAGTAACTTATTTAACACCAAAAATGTTGAAGCAAAGACTATTGATGCTTCTCAGTTGTGTTTCTTGCAATGTAAACTTGGAGTAAAACATTTTAACAATTGCATTAAAGGTTACCAAAGACGCCGCAAGTTTGTGCCTTGAATAAAATAAGTGGTCAGCTATGTCCTGCTTTTAAATGTATTTCTATTATTTTTTAAACTGTGATTTGCAGAAAAAACTGGTGCTAGGTCAGGAGTTTTAATGCTTGAAGTCCAATGAAATTCTTCTCAAAGAAAAAACTATGCTGGATAATCCCTATGACCAAAATCGTTTTTTATTATCACCAAAAGACAATTTGGGGGTTTGCTAAAAATCAGGGTTAATTATGTAAATGTGTTTGTCCCTATTTTCTGCAGAAGTTAATAAGAAATGCATGCTTTACTATACAAACTGTGGCTTGTTGCTAACTATACCAAAGGATCTGGTGTTTAATTCTCTTTTTTAGTTTATTTTATACCATTTCATTAAGCTTTTTTACTTGGGAAAATGTGCATTACACACAAATTGTACAGAAATAGTGATATTCTATTGTATTTATTTAAAACAATCAGGGTGCTTTGAGATTTTAACATCTTCCACCAAGTTTCCCGTTAAATGTGGTATCTTTGTATTTATTTACTACAGCTGAATCAGTGCCATGTGGCGAAATGTCAACTTTTTACCCTGTTCATTTTTTTTTCTATCACCAAAATCTGTGGCCATATTTTCTGTATCAACTCTTTAAAATGTTTTCACCAATTGTATTTTGTTAATTTTGCTTCCACTGATAAGATTAAATTGTGACTCTCCAATTCTGCCATACGTTATTCGTGCTGTTTTTGACCCGCTTATATCAAAGCATTAATTTAAAGATTCATTTTAGACATTATTTTTATTTGGACAAGGAGAGGAGAGGGATGGTGAGAGGGAGAATGAGTATTTTCATCCACTGTGTTGTGATTTGAGTGGTTTTGTCTTTTTGTGTCGGGGCATCATGGCGTAACTATTAAAATTTGTCTTAAATTTTTTTCCAGAAAAAATAAGAGACCTCAATATGTGTTTGTTTTTATTATGTTAAAGACAAACAGTTCAACATTAAAATATGGTGCTGAAAAAAAGAAAAAAGTATTGTTTTAAATGTGTGTAAGTATTTTTTAAATTGTGTTTCTGTAATATATAATCTTTTTAAAAGAGCTGTTGACTCTTTGTTTTTATTTAGTATTCAGAAAACAATGATGGCCACAAGGGGGCAGTATTTTATAGTGTTTTGTTCCCTTGAGACACGAACAAAAAATAAAAAAATTGGCAAGCAAGAATACGTTACAAAAATGTATTTATTTCAAGAATTTCTATTAGTTGAGACATGCCCTGATGCAAACCAATATGTACTTATATTGGTTCTGATATTGTCATTTGTACATAATTAATATTTTTTTAAAAGCTTCTGGAACAGCCCTGATTTTATTATTTTATTTTAATATTGAACTAAAGAAATTGAAGGATAAGTAATCATTCTTTAAATAACTTTTCTTTACATTTATTATGTTAACTCGCTCATGAATCATTAGAGGAACCATAGGTCTGCATTATTTATGGGATTCAACTTCTTGTTATAAGGCAACATTTTCAGAACTTTTCACCATTCAAAACATGTTTTGTTTTAACTAGTCACTGATATGGCTACAGCTCAAATGTGTCATTCTGAAACCCATGGAGCATTGTCAATGTAAAGGCTGCAGGGTTTGATTTGTGGAAATGAACATGATTTTATTAGAAATGAAAACATTGATTAAAATCATTTCTTTATGAAAATAGCTATAATCATTTACAAAGGCAGTCTTATTTCATGGAGGTAGAAGTTTCATCCAATAAACAGTCCACCTGGTAAAAAATAATAATAATAATAAAATTAAGTTTAAAAGCTTGCTTAAAATGTTTTTAAAATGTTAAAGTTAATTATTTTTAGTTTTTATGTTATACTTTTACCTGTGACTTCAATGCTTGTCCCTGTGATGTACCTCGAGTCATCTGAAGCTAAAAAGGCACACACATCAGCGACCTCTAGTGGACAAAAGATGGATAAGGAAAAAAATATTAGTTTTTATAATGATTATAATTTTTATGTGAACAAATGTTTACTAACCTGCAGGCTCACCCATTCTTCCCAAAGGCACCAATGTTAACAACTGAAACACAAAATGATTTTGCTAATTAAATGTGAATATTTCAGTTGACAAGAAGAAATAATTCATGTTTTAAATACCTTGTTTATAACCTTATCAGGAACTGAATCTGTCATTGGAGTTGTAATAAATCCAGGTAGCACACAGTTACATCTTATTCCAAATCTTTAAAAAAATATATATACACACATATGAATTATATTTCTTAACTGTAAACTGTTAAAATAATTCAGCAAATACATTCATAATTGAGATAGTTTAGATAGTACAGAGGATGGACAGAGAATATATAATACAGACAGAAGTGAATATATGGTACAGAGAAGGAAGTAGATAAATATATATATATTTTTTAGATTATTTCCACAAGTCATACTAGTTTCTTCTTACTTGCTGAGTTCTTTGGCTGCTGTCCTGGTTAAACCTTCGACTCCAGCTTTTGAGGCAGAATAATTTGCTTGTCCAAGATTTCCCACCTGTAAAGTAATTCAGTGTCGTTAAGTTTGATCACATGTACAAGTGCGGTGTTTCATTCAGTGCAATGTCAACACTAGATTTCTTACCTTTCCCACAATGCTGCCCATATTGATAATGGATCCTTTGGAGGCACCACAGGCCACTAGAGCCTGAGCCACTGCCTGAGTCACCAAGAACGTACCCTGGAAAATAAATTAGAAATAAAGGATTTTATGCTCATAACATGCTTATCTAGTCCAACTAAAACAACATAAGACCATTAAGAAATCATGTTGTATGATGGTGAATGGCGATATTTTTTCTGAAACAGACAGTTATCCATTTGCTTGTTTACTTGACTGTTGATGAAGAAGGATGCCCAGTACACCGGATTGGGTTTGGATTTGTGAGTGACTCGTATTAGGCCTGTCACAATCACTGTATCCATTTATAGTTCAATAAAAGATAGATAAAAAATAACTTTTGCTATTTTGCTGTACTACAATAAAGTTTGAGTCTACTGCCCGCCAACACTACAGGATAATTTAGGCAGCAGTTTGATTATAAATGAGATTTTTTAAATTTTTTTTATTTTTTGCATGCTTCAGGGTTATTGCAAACCAAACTCTGATTATAATCTAATATTTGGACTTTTAACATTACATAAATGATTGCAAATTCTAATGTGAGTAATCCGAGGGACCAGTTGTATATATTTTTTCAGCAATATATTGTACTTGAAAATGTGCTATGGTGACAGGCCTAACTGGCGCAATGGATAAAAACGCTGTACCTTCAAGTTGACTTGGATCACTTTGTCAAACTCCTCTTCTTCAAGGCTGAGCAGAAAGTTGTCCTGAGTGATGCCCGCTGCGTTCACACACACAGACGGAGGCTGGAAATATCGAGTCTGGAACAGAAATTGGTAAAATACATTTGAAAACTGCAGGAATTAGATTAAAACACAGTTCACTAAGGTTAAACACGTCAATGAAGTACATAAATTAATCCAGAGATTACCATTTCACAAACAAACGATATCTATATTTCACGCTAATTCAATTCAAATCAGGAGGGAATCATTTGTTTGAAACACATCCATTAATTGAAGACCACATGGTACTACTAGGGAAACTTACATCATTCTGAATTTTTAGTTAAAAATTCCATACTATTGTCCAAATAAGTGTTTTTATTTATGTGTATACATTGTTACAATACTACAAAAGCTCATGTGCTCATGTATATGATAATATGTTGACTTCACCTGTATTTGAGTGATTAGTTTCTTGACACTGTCCTTTGATGAGACGTCTACCTGTCCTGCCATGTGCCCCTGCCCGATCTGCCCTCTCTGCCCCTTCTGCCCCCTCTGCAGGGCATCCACAGTCTCCTCTGCAGCGTCTTGATTCAGATCTGCCACTACAACCGTTGCACCCTCTGAGGCAAAGCGCTGGCACACAGCTTGCCCAATCCCACTGCCCCCACCTGCACAAAGAAAAAATACATTTATTCATCAAACAAGGGAGAATATTGCAACAAAAAGTTCAACATTTTAAATCAAATCAATTAAGCGACTACATATTTGAGAGGAAGGAGCTCCAAAGTGGTACATATTTGGCACTTATGATAGAAGGGTGCTGAGGTTAGAAGTCTTAGGAAAGATGAACATAGAAGGGAAGATTTATGGATGCAGTATAGATTTAGCTAATTTCCTGTTTAACTATATATTAATATATTTTAAACCAATACTTGGTAGCACACAAACTCCCATACAGTGAACTTTGATAACCGTGCTGCTAAAACCGAATCCTATAGCAAACTTCAGTACTAATATTTTGTTTTTATGCAAAGACGAACAGTACAAATGGCTCTTTCACTTGGTTACGAGAAGAGGGGGTTAAGAGGTTTGCGTATGTTCAAAAACTAAATATACCTGTGACTAACGCCAACCTTGAAATGAGCCTGGAGGAGGACGCCATATTTGTGTTGTGTTATTGTTGTTCCGCGTTTGTCCAGGAGATGGCGGTAATGCCCCACTGACGTTGAAAGCCAAACTGTAGTTGCATTTTAACTAAACAAATACATATAATGTTAAAAAAGAAAACACAAATTAAGCATTGTTTTCTGAAAATTACACGATCTTCACCCTGATACAAAAACTTAAAAAATGTAAAGTAAATGTAAATGTAACTTGAATTCAATTGACAGTGGATCTACTTCCATTGTTTGAAAGTTTGAATGAGAATAGTTTAAGTGTTAGTAGTTTACTTAGTTAAATGATATCTTAGATATCACATTTTCCATTTTGTCCATTTTGACACCGAGTTAGGACATTCAAACTGATTTTACGTTACTCTGATATATGGCATACAATATATGCGACTGTAGCATGTCTCAGTTCACAATACTCTGACTCTGACATCCTGTTGTTACATTTTGGTGCTCACAAATATTTACTTTTTGTTCTCATGTTTGAGTTTCTTTATTGAAAGTAACAGGTTGGGCTAACATCTTTTACCACGTGAGAACACACCTGTAATATTGACACTTAACCGACATGGCCGTTAATATCTGTGTACACTAGTGTATATGAATGTGTGTGTGAATGGGTGAGTAAACGCGCTTTGAGTTCAATTCACTGATCATGTAGACCTATGTGCCAAGTGTTCTGGAAAGAGCCGGAGAACTGTGAACTGATGAGAAATGTTCCAAATAATTTGACCACATAAGCCCCTTGTTTGGATAAACATTTGAACTTTATTTATAAAACATTTTAAAAAAGAAAGAAAGAAAGAAAGAAAGAAAGAGAAGTAGTAGTAGTATAGTTTCATTGTAATCTAATTAGAAGGCTTTCTACCTCAAAATAATTCTAAAACAGAAATCCTACTAAACGTTTAGGCAGCTTTGAACACTATCTGGTGGCTGAATAATGTAACTACAAATCGGTTGGGTTTTATTTTGAGCAGATGTACTCAAAAGTGACTTTAGATGTTATCTTTACCAGCCAGCTGATTTGTTTGACCGCCAGAGTAAGCCAGGGTTGGGTTAGTGTAATGTAAAGTGACTGGGCGTGAAAGCGTTTTGAAGGTTATTAATGGGAGTAGTTTATGATCAGCAAATAAATAAATGATCTAAATAACAGCATAACATTATAACATAATTCCGTTAGATCCATGCCGTTTGTGAGATTGAGCGAGAGCGAGAGCTGGGTTAGTACTACAAAAGTTAATTACCTAAATTTTAGTTGAAGCATAAACTCCTCCATGTTCTTAAAAATATGCAGTTCTCAGTGCGGCCACTAAAGGGAAGCACGTCATAATTAAACTCCTGTCTCAATATCTGCGTACTGATACTTTTATCTCGGAAGAAGCTTGAACTTTTCGCCGTTAACGTCATGGATTCATTTAATAAAAACCTCATGTGACAAACACGACATGTGATGGTTTATTTAGCCTGCTTATAATATTAATATGACAATTAATTGGTCATATCTGTTTATTTATGTACAGGTGAAAATGCAGTCAAGTACAGAGGTTTCAGATTTCTGACAAACATAACTAAAGAGATAATGGAGTATTTAGACTTTTCCTCCTTTATATCAAAGAGGAAAATAGGCTAATATACAACAAAAACATGCTCAGAATAAAACTGTAAAATGATTATACAGTTCTACAGCCCAAATGCTTAACACTTCAGAAGACACTGAAAATCTTAAGTTCTTTCAGAAATATTTCTAACTCAAGTCAAAGGCAATCAACAAAGTACACACTAAACTTGAATTGCCATCAAAACAAACCAGTGCAATATTAACAAAAAATATTTAAAAAGACTACTGGTTACTGAGACTGAAAAGCATGTCCATCTTATCTGTTCGGAACACCCATCTCTATTCCTACTAAATGTTTCTACTGCTTTCAAATAACAACATGCCAGCTGCCGTAGGTAAGAAAGGCCAACTTGTTTTAAAGATGGAAAATGGGTTTAGTTAAATTAAATTAAGGGAATCAATTCAAAACTCTAAATTATATTATCTACAATAATTATTTTTAATGGACAGAACAAGATAAATAGCACAAAGGAAAATCAAAACAAAAGAGATGGTATCTTTGCACGGGTGAGTGGACAACACGTCCTCACAATTTATTCGCAGATTGGTCACAAGGAAAGTCAACAAATACACAGAAACTGAAGTTTAAGCGAACATGGAACAGAAATATAGATGTATAAATGTGATGTTTCTGTACAGTGGGTTTAACGGATGCATGCGTTCTGAAGGTGCTTCTGCTTAAACTGTGAGGAGCTGTACTCACATGTGCATGCGAACATACATGAACATTCACACAGACAGTGGCTCCCTCTTTTCTGCTTCACTCGAGGAAAAACAAAAAGTAAAACACAACACTACCCACGCCAGTCCATCTTTCCCACAATCAGGGAATAATTTAGCTCCATAAAATGCTTCTTTATAAAAGAAAAATAGATATTTATATAACTGTACACTGTATCTATACAGCATAAGACGGGACACGGTTTGAAGGGAAATCTCCAGATTTAGACTCTGGCTGTAGCACCCATCTCCTTCAAACTCGTGGATCTGGATCCAGGGTCCCACAGCCCGGTCCGGACCGTCCCAGGACCCTCTGAGGGTCCAGTTTAGTGCTGCTGTGATCCGCCTGCGGTCAATTCATTCAGTCCATACTTTATCAGCTCAGCCTGAGTCCGACTCACTGGTGTCTGAGGAGGAGGAGGATGAAGAGGAGGAAGATGAGTCTGAGGAAGAGGAGGAGGCGCTGAGGCGAGAGGGCTGCGTGTGAGCATCTGCCGCCGGTTTGTCCGCTGTAAAAACATAACAGTTAAGATCCATATGAATACAGTGAGTATATTTAGAGCTGGACATTTGAGACTCAAGTTTAGAGCAGAATATGTGATCTGATTGTAGACTCACGTTTGGCTTTGACGGGCTTCTTCCCGGAGTTCAGTTGTCCGCTGACGTCCATGAGGCGGCGCTCCAGCTCCAGCTGCTTTTCCAGAGCTAGCTCCTCTCTGCTTTTCCCCGCACTGTTTTTACTCGCTGCACCAAGACAAGTATATCACATTACTACACTGCACAGAATAATATACTAAAAACAGGGCCAGTTGCTTTAAAGAATACATTTTTCACAAACCAATTTCTAGTCTGTTTAACAGTTCTTAGTTGTTGTAGCCTTTCATACTACATAACTACATATTGCACATACCATACGGCTTCCGTGGCTTCTTCCTCAGACAGGTCATGACGTATCTCTCCAGTTCTCGCAGCGTTGATGGTTTTAGCGTCTCAAAGTCGATCTCAATCTCCTCTGGGTTTGTGTCTCTAAGTGAGGGCTCTCGTGATTGGATGATGTAAACAACGCGTCCGAGTTTCTCTCCAGGGAGTTTGTTTATGTCCAGACTCAACTGCCTCTTCTCATCATATGACATCGGTGCCGTGTCCTCCTCTTCATCAGAGTCATAGTGGCCAATGAATGGTTCGTGGGCCGAGGGTGGGACGTTGAAGACCATGGGCGCAGTCTTTTTGGATCTGCAGGAAGAAAAAAAACGGTATATAGATATGTTCTTGACCAATAAATCACCAATTTAAACCATTTCCATGTTGGAAAACATGTTGATAGTGACTGATAAAGTGATACTTTATACAAATCTTTTATTTTTTTCTAAACTTTGTAATGATATATTTGTGTATTTGAAATTTTAGCATAGTAAAAATAATGATACATTTCATTACCACAATTTGCTAACAACACAGTTGCTGTTCAACTTGTATTATAATGAGCCATCTCATAATTGTAAAACAATGCTTCTAATAATCTTTTCAATCCATCCTGATCTTTTCTGCTACTAAGTGCACAACAACTGTTTCCAAGTATACTAGATACTTGGAAATACATGTACAAGTATACTTTATACTAGCATAATTGTCGTTTTATTACTTTACAATACAACTGATTCTGTATTATATCATTAATGAGTTTTTGTTTTTTGCAAAAGTCTAAATAATTTCCACTGTGGACCAAAAAGATATGAACCAAAGACACAGCACTTCTCTTTTGGTCCAGTAGAGGTCAGTACTCACTTGCTCTTGCTGGTTTTCTTGCTGGCAGACTTCTTTCCTGGGGTACAGTTCAGACTTTTGCTGCTCTTGTTCTTTGGGGGTTTGGTGAGTTTTGGGGCTTTGGCCGGTTTGATGGTCACGACCTCGTCTTCTAGTCGCCGATGTTTCTCTTTATCCCCCTTTTTCTTCTTCTTCTTGTCTTTCTTCTCTTTCTTCTTCTTGGGTTTGATGATCGGGCCTTGGGAGAGTGCCGTAAGCTGCTCGTGAACAGCCTTCAACTAAAAATTGGATCAGAATTTTTGTTAGAAGCAAATAATAATACATATAAGGCATATTTTTGTAAAAGGGTAATGGTTTTAATAGTCTATCACCCAACTATAAGGAAATATACAACATATCAAACACTACTAATATTACTGATCGTATCTGGCACCCCCTCACCTGTTCTTGTAGCTCTGCCAGCCTGTTGGCCCTCTCCTCCTCGGAGTCTGAGGAGGGACTGCTATCACTCTCCTCGCTCTCGCTGCTCAACTCGCTCTCTGACGAAGAGGAGGAAGAGGAGGACGACGATGAAGAACTCTGAGGGGCTGGAGGTTCATCGGGCATCTTTGCAAAACAAAACTCAAAGACGTCCTGTAAAAAAAGAGAGAGTAGCTTAAGCATGTATGTTTTTTATTCTACAACTCCACTGATTTATAACTAATATTATAAGCATTTTTCACATGTTTTATACATTTGTGTTCAGCTCCAGCCAAATGAAGCTCATAATGGTATAGGGGCTAATTTGGAGTCAGGTTCCATATAAGGAATAGGAATTTATTAACAGCCAAAATGGCTAAATAAAAAACACCAGGATCATGTAGAGTGAATTAATATGAACATTTTAAGACCAAAAATGACGAAGCTCGCTGTAGAGAGGGCAGAGTCAATGTAAAGTCATTTGGAAACTGACTCAAACACTCAGAAGCGCTTCCATGAACATTTCCTATTTGAAACTAGGCCACTAGCGAGTTAGCTATTGCTCATTTATTTACACAGTTTATGGATCAAACTGGCCTCCAAAAACCTATAAATTAGAATTTAGACTAGTACTTTTAAAAAACAGGCCATGTCTACTGATATTAGGGCCGACTAATATATCAGTTGGCCAATATTATCGGCCGATATGGGCACTTGGAAACATATTAGCTATCGGCCTAAATTTTCCCGATATGGGCCGATGGTCCATACGGGCATGTCATACCTTATTATAAAGTTTAAACACTATATTACTCCAGTTGAATTAAATTTACAGACATATAAAAGGTCCAAATAGGTGGCGCTGCAACAATATTTATCTGAGGAACAAGTTCTCTGTCTGTGGAGGTGCATTCAGGTGCCGTACGGTGTCAAGAGTCACATGACTCACATGCTCTTGTTTATAGCAGTGAGCTCTCAGCATCCACTCTGAGACAGCACAGAGGCGCTGGCTTTAAATGCTCTTGTGTCTGATCCAAGGTACTGACTATAAATAAAAGAGAACTTCAGCTCAATTTAGTCAGTAAGTCAGTCAGTAACAAAACTACTGCTTGTTTTTATCAAAGTGCGAGTGCGGAGAAGAGAGGACTGTCCCATAGACGGAGGACACACACCCCTGCTGTCAACATGCTAGATTATATTCTTTGAAGAATGTCATGCAAAAATGCCATTAGGCCTACATACTGTCTTTAAATATGACGGTAATGAGGCAATATAACAGTAAATGTAGCCTAAATAAACCCAAATTAAAATATAATAGAGCCACACCTAAGTTTTATTATCAGTTGAAGATGTACAGTGAATTTTTCAACCATCAGCATTTTGTCTGATCAGTTTTGTCTTATCCATTTTAACAATAAAGTCTTTGAAATTCAACATATATGTTCCCAAAATTAGTATACAGCTGTCAGATGTGATTTAATGCCTAGTTAAAGCCACATTAGAATTAGCATATGGCCTTACCTGTAGTTTTCGAGCCATGGTGACAACGTCATGGTCTGGGGGGTTGTACTTGTAACAGTTTGAAAACATCAGTCTGACATCAGCGGAGAACTGCTGTGCGTCTCTGTACTCCCGACTGTCCATTTTCCTCTGCAAAACACAAATGTATAAATGCACTTGAAATCTTCTTTTGTAATACACAATAACCATTCTAAAAGCACCAGATAAGCCTATTCAACAGGCTTCATTCTGATAAGAAGCCTTAGATTTATTCATGGCTTACAGTTTACTGCTAATGGGTGACTTTTTGAGGACTTTTGAATCATGATCATTCATGATATCATCATAATAAGTCACAATATAACTCTAAAAACAATAGTGGCCACTTCAAGTAAAAAATATTAAATCTAAATATAAAGTGCCTCCTTTTTATATTACATCTTAATATTATCAGCCAGAAAGTTTAATTTGAACACAAACTCGAGGAATAAAAATGTACTAAGAATTAAGAATTTTGCGAACATGTAAATTGCCCTGCTGTCATTTGTGAATAATTGCCAAATGGTATGGTTTCTTTTCACAATATTTGCAACATTAAAATCAGATTCGCATTAATCCTACTATCAGGATGTGGTCTTGCCCAAGGATACAATACCAGAATGCACTTATGCTTTCAGATGCGTTTCATCCACCGTGGAGTATTATCAAAGCTTTACAGTTCATTTATTTTACATCAGGAGTCCTGTTGTAAATACCTTGATGGTGCTGAGGTCCATTGGTTGTTTGATGATGTCGTGGTAGTCGTGGAGCCCGAGCGTTGCCGCATCAACCGGTTTGTAGAACGGCCATGCATACGCTGCATGCTTCTTGGACAGTAGCTCCTTCAAGACCCCGCTACAATACCTCAGCTGGGGTCCAAGTTTACTGCGACGTACTGGAGCAGCAATCATTGAATCTGGCAAGTCCTTCTTTGGGGGTTTTATGGGTCTCCCACTCACCCCCCTGCGTCCTCCGGAGGTTGCCTTGGTGCCCATCATGACTCCAGCATGCGTCATTGTCATGCCCATCCCCATGCCCATGCTGAGGGCGGTGGCAGGGTCCATGGTCATGCCCAGAGAGGCGAGGGTGTGAGGGGATTCGTGCCCAGTGAGTCCTAGCCCCATGGGACCAACGCCCAAGGAGCTCATGAGGGGCATCGCAACTGTGGTGGGAGTGGTTGTGTCGGCTTTCCTCTTCACACCTTTTTTCTGCAAGCAAAATTAGACAAGACATTAAAATTAGGGTTATGCAGTATGAGAAACAAATGCAATATGGAAAACCTGTCTTTTTTATGTGAAAAAGAACTAACCCAAAAGTTAATGAATGTTCTTAACTAAATATTTCCAAGATTGAGGGCCTCAGCAAAATAAAGGAAGATTTATTGTCTTGCTCTATGGTTTGGTATAATGTTTGAAAATAGAGCTGGCCAATAGGACAAAAAAATGCATCACTTTTTTCCTTTAATCATGATTTGAGATTCTATTTTATTTTGCCCAAATGAAAAAAAAAGTAAAATAAACAATATTGCAATTTAACACAAAAAACTGTCAATATTTTTCAAAGTCTGAACTCTGTCCCAAACCAGATCTTGATAAAGGATTGGTCATAGACTTCTCAAATATAAAGACATTCTCTAAAATTTGATTCATTGCATGTTTTATTTTAAAGTACTTGGCGTCCTTTGCACAATAAATTCAGATGTTACTTACAGCTGAGTAGATGAGTTTAGAGTGATTGAATTTTAACTATGGTCAATTTATGATTAACTGCACAGCTCTAATGAACAGGTATGGACACATACCTTTGCAGTGGGCTGTGTGGGGGGCAGGCCAGTGATTGTAGGAGCGCTCTGTTCTGGGGGAAGAAGTTTGGTGAGGAGGGTCTGTGGGGGTGTGGATAGGACAGAGTCTGGAGTGTCTGGAGTAGGGGGAGAGTAGGCAGACTGGGACACTGCAGGGACTTGATGAGCTGTAGTTATTCCCCCAGATACTGAAGAAAAAAAGAGAAACACATGTCACAAACTGTGCATAGACCATAAATAGTCACAAATCCATAGTTTTTAATGGTCCCCAATGTCTGTATAATTTCAGCTGGAGGACTAACTCTAACGTTGATGCCATCTTTGAATGTAATCCCCAAAGAGAGTACACAAATTTTAAACCTAGTCACTGCTTGTTTGTGACAATAACAAATATATTAATAGTATAAATTAAGTCTTGAGGGTTAATGGGGTAATCAGCCTTTTTTGTAAATTAAATTTTCATTTAGACTCAATTACAGAGATATTATTCATAAACTGCATCACAAATTTTATAAAAAGAATTCCCTTTTGCCCACCCTATACATATTACATCAACAAACTTTTGGGGGAACCAAAAATGTTCTATCCTTGGTTTAGTTACCAGTTGTCACTGTGTTCTTTTGTGAACTCAGTGACATGTGTGTGGAGTAAAACAGTCTACGCACCTGCTGCACCACGACCTTTTCTCCCGCCTTTGCTTGTTTTGTTTCTGGGGGTGGGAGGGGCCAGCTCCACTTCCTCTTGGGGCATCTTTGCCACTTGCTGCAGAAATGCCTTTTCTAGAGACTGAGCCATAAGAACAATATCGTCTGTGGGCTGCAGAGAGCAAAAAAAAACCAATTACAATTACCCATCTTTTGACTAAGTTACAAACTGTTTTATTCATACAAACCATTACCTTGTTATATATGTAGCAATTGGTAAACATGGTATTGAAGTCCTGCATACATTCACTTGCACTGCGGTAGTAATTATTCTCAAGTCTTTTCTTTATGGTGCCCATGTCCATTGGTGTTTTAATAATTTTATGATAATCCTGTAAAAGCAATAATGGGGTATAATTTTAACATTGAATACTCTGTTTGCCAACTTTGCAATACATTAATTGGTTGTTTTATGGACAAGGACAATTAGCATGAGGAAAGAAATATTACTCACAGGTAGGTTGAGCTTGACAGCATCAACTGGTTCATGGAAGGGCCAGGCAAAGTGGTGTCTCCACAGCGACTTCAGAAGCACTTTCTGTAGAAACTGGAGCTGGTTGGTCATCCTTCCCTGTCGATTGGGATCTTTGATTGGGGGCTGAGGGGGTCCAGAGGGGATCATCTGGCTGAGAGCAGGGAGCCCAGGACTCTCAAAGCCCTCGTAAAGCAGAGAGGGTTTCCTGATTCGCTTCCCAGCTGCGCCAGAACTCTGCTCCATCGTTGAGACTCCCATTAAGCCAACCTCAACCCCGAGGAGAGAGCTGGTGAGAGCACAGCACAATGACCAATGAACTCAAGCCACAGTTGGTCCATGTGAAATGTGCAACCTGCAGTCTCTTATACAAGTTTAATGTACAGTGGTGCTTTAGGGACAATATCAACACCGCTCCTTGTAAAATTAATTCTAACTCTAGATCGGGGTAGGTAACTGGCAGAGCTGCATTACACTGTGCACCCACTGCACCGGCAGAGACTCCGCCTCCACTTCCCCCTAAGCTGACTGCTAAAAGACAGTGGGAGGGGCCAAAGGCAACACGCTGCAGTCTAGACTTTTCCAACAAATGCAAACCCAGGAGTAAAATATTTATCAGCTGCCATCTGACATCCTGGCTCTCATGCAGGGTTTGTTTACCCCCGTGTTATATACACAATCAGAATAGTAAAGACTCTCAAAACAGTATTTTAGTGTCATTCAACTTTTGAAATTTGCTTAAATTGTCATTTAGCTTGTTACCAACAGACTTAAAGAGGCATTACATGGCAACTAATGGATATACATTTTGGGCTTTGCTTTGCTTTGAATTTTGACAGAGCACAATAATACAACTGGTCAAAAAATTTCAGTCTGTGTACTTTATTATGACTTTTTTTTTTACATAACATACATATTTTTTATTTATTTACAGTGGGTAAAAAAATAAAACAGTAAAAATTAACATGACTTTTTTGATAAAACTACTTCCTGATTCTATGGGGAATGAGCACTGTAACCAAGCAACCGGCACACAACACATGGTCTAGTGTTGAGTGAACTGTCGCCCATCAGAATCAAACCCCAAAATAATTTATTATGAAAGCTATCAAATCAAGTCTAAATCACTATGTCATACTAACTTATCTCGGGAGATGTGCGACTGTTTGAACACAACTGCTCCTGTGAATCACATGGCTATAACAACAAACCGGGAACCAGGAGGATCACCGGTGATGCAGAAAACCAGTTAGCCTCTTCAGATTATTGCCATGAACAATTTGTGAGCAGCATTTACATAATGCCCGGCGAGAAACTGAACAAACTACCAAAAAAAGCAGCAGCAGCGCCACAGACAACTACAGACCAGAATCCGTGAGAGCGCAGCCAGGGCTAAAAGCGCTAATGCTAACGGCGCTAGCATAAACAACCCAGCAGCGGGAGAGAGCGGCCAGCGGCGGGGCGCTGCGAAGATGGCGCCGGTGGAGACCGAAACACTGAGCTCCTTCAGCCTACGACCGAAACACATCCACTCACGACCTGTGCTTACTTTATCAACTTCTTACCCTCACCGTATAAACTATTTACATTCCGTTTAGAGTCCATCAGATCGCGTAACAACGGCAACAACACGCAAATATTCAAATTCACCGAAAATGTCCATAATATCCTCTGTGATTAAAAGTCCATAGTCATGTTTACCGATATATACCTGTCTTGGGGCGGGTTAAGAGCCATATCCATCGGGATGGATCCGGATTGTATTTATGCTAGAATCAAACCGGGACCGGAGTCAGCTCGCCAGTTTCCTCCGCTCCCCGTCAACGCGGTCTCCCTCGATCTGTTCGTTGAAATGGCGATTCTGCGACTGCACCCGAGACTTTATAGACCAACCTTACGCCCTATTGGTTACAGCCACAAGCCTTGAACACGCCCTCAGAGATCCCATTGGCCGCCTTCCGCGTCAGTCAAACAGGCCGCGCCCCAGAATGTAGCTACTTCCTTTACAGCCTTTTGAACCAACCTATTCGCTAATGCCGACTGTCCATCAAATAAACTACACAAAGCGATTGGACAGACTGTTGCAATGCTGCCGAAACGCTGCATGCAAGTGGCTTTTGCAGATAATCCGCCACAAAATGCAAGTGCATTGAACACACCCTTCTCCTTATCGTATTACATTACGTCAACATGTGCAAAGTAACCACGCGGATTGGCCCAGACAACTTAAACGCGGGCTTCTGGGGCAAACACCATGAAGCCCATTGGTCCCTCGACCAGGTCACGCGTGTCCCGCAAGAACCAAGGGCTGATCTCCACGAGCGCACTCTCTCAACCAGAATATCCGCATTTATGTCGCCGGAAAGCAGCACAGTCGCCATCTTTGAGCCGTACAAAATCGCGAATTCTGTCGCATTTGACAACTCCCTGAACACGATAACACTAAAAACTAAGTTGAACACGACAATAGACATCCACATTAAGTTAAATGTGAAACTAACCAAAATGTTCCCATTACATTCTACGTGCTGGGAGACATAGCAATAATTAACGACGACACCAAAGCAGCTGTTGAGCCATATCCGCCATGTTAGGTGGGTCACAAGAACAACATGAATGACACAGCAATTTTAACCCATGAAATAAAACCCTGCCCGACAACACCTTTTAAAACTACCGAAAACACTAAAGAACCACGACAAATGACACGCAGAATCGAAATCTAAGCTTCAATTTACTTAAACAACTTGTATCCAAATAGCCGTGAGAAGTCGGTGTATTTCGTTGAAATCAAACTAAAATACAAGTTACTATCAATTGCAACACTGCTGAAGAGAAAACGTTCGAAAATAAGGGACTGTTGCTTAATTCAAGAGCCAGACAAAATGGTTACCTAACCACATGCGCCCATCCCCCACGCCAAGGTTACAAAATCCCCACAATGTCACGAAAAAAGATGGCGTAACTATACTATCTGAACATGTGTAATTACTAAATCGGTGAAATAATGTTGTAAAATGAATAAACTAACAAGTAGATACAAATAAACAGCATAGTCCTAAGTAAAACACAAAACAAAACGGTATAAACACGTGGCGATTATTAGGCTATTAAGATCTGAAAAAAGTAAAGTAAAAATCCCAAATAATGCGAAACCTTTCTTCAAATAATCTTCTTGCCTTCTTCGATACTTTTTAACCAGCACATTTCCCTCAAACATGTCCGCCTTCTTCTTCCTCGATGATACGGCGGGTGGGGGAGGGGAGTCATGTGATACTGGCCCTCAACCCTGAGCCAAGTTCCTTTGTTCAGACAGAACAAAGTAGGTCATAGCCCAGCAGATTCGACCTTGCGTTACCCAAACCCCAAAATGTACCAGTTGCGTTTATAACATTTAAAAAAGATTAAAGTTGGAGATAAAACCTTCAAAATGTCCAAACAAAGACACATTTTCCGTTCGAAATAGTTCCCTCCCATTGGTCAGACAAGGCCACGTGACGCAAATGAACTCTTTGTATCGATTATACTTCGAAAAACCCTTAAAATGTTATAATCCAGCTGGGATCCCGCATCTGTCCTTGCACCTGTACGAAAACTTTGTCCACTGTCGCAGAAGGTTGTGTTCTTGTCTGGTTTCTATGCTTCTTGCTTTCCTTGATGAGATGGCGCTATCGGTGGTTGCTACAGGACACAATGCGCATGCGCCGATTCCATGAAACTGCAAAAAAAAAAAGTGCCCCAAAACAAGGCTGGCCCACGCGTGGTGCCTCCAAAGAATGAGGATCGATTTGCGTCGACAGCGAGGAGGTGGGATTGTGCTGCAGACGCGACTCTAGAAAAACGAAACGAATGCAGCTTTTCGAAATGTACTCAATGTACAGCATTGTCTCTCAATGTTTTTTGGCTGTCTGGCTTAATGGTAACACACAAACCAACATAGCATAAAAAAAATGATCAAAGATAGGCTTTCTCTATGTCGAAATCAATGTATAAATGTATATTAAAATGCATGTTAGGCTACTGTTATACTTTCAACACCCTCCATTACAACTGCAAGGCAAGACTTAACCTAGCCTGACTGTGTGACCTAAATTCTTATGTTGACCATAGCCTACTGTTCTATATATTTTTGTTCAAGAATTTTCTGCATTTCCCGGAGACTGGAGAGGAGGAACAGCTGAGAGCAGAGAGGGAGGAGTTGGTGGATTACATCAGAAGCAGCCTCATCTCTGAGTCATCCTCTCACCACACACACTCACACTCAAACACAACTTCCATTCTTTTTCTGTAGCCCATGCATATATTTCATCAGCAGTTTCCACAAGAGGTCCATAAAGGGTCACTGTTTCAGCTCAGTTCCAATTGTAGTGCTAAAAAATTACAATTACCAAGTTATTTTATTAATTTATTTATCCTTTGACAAAGCAAATGATAGAGAATATGGTGTTTCATAATCAAAACCGTGGATATGTCCTGCCCTATTTTGATATTCCCCTTGAGACTTAATGCTAATGTCCACTAAACTATCAATTTGCATTTTTATCATGATTATGTATTGCATGTAAAAATTGGTAGTATTTCCCAATATTGATTTATTCCAGTAGGCCTATTTTGTTTTCAAGTAAAATGTCTTTCAATTACTTGATTAAAAACAATATAGACATTTGAGCGAAAATTCAAATAAAATATCTTAATTTGAATTCTGAACTCCAAACATGCTTTTATGGATAGAGGACTGAAATAAAATATTGCAAATTGAATAATGGCACTGTGTTAGTATTAAGCCTTTATTCTTTCCAGATACTTGCAGTAGTATAAAAATAATATAGGTTCATGTAGTGAGTGGGCAGAATCCAACCACTGCACAAATGACAATGTACTTAAAATATAAAATGTAAACAGCAATATTAGTTTCTTCCTCAGATATGTGGTCTGATGGGCTTAGGGTGATGACAAAACTTTACATATGGATTATGCAAATATGGCCTAGTTACTACAAGCTATTTTGACCCTATTGCCCATTGCCAGCCTATGTTTATTTGTCACTGCATTTTTTGTGCGTCTATACCATGCATAATAT